TGTCTACCTTTCTAGTGTCTAGCTGATACGTACATGCCATTGCTTAGGCTTTCTCATGCAGGTTCTGCGCTGTTGAATTAAGAGCCATCAGAGCTGTCTCCCCAGTCCTGTATTGGTTTCTGGACCATATGTTTTCCGAAGTCATGCACTACTTTCATCACAGTCTGTGCTCTGAGTTTTATAAATGTGAACTTAATGCAGAATATTTCCATCGACTCCTTCCTCCACCCCTCCCTGTCTGTAGGCTGTTCAGTTCCTATTTACTGGTTTTGGAAGGGCAACCCTCATTGCTCATATACTTAGTCGTATACTTAAGGTATCCAATCCAAATTATTACCATCATGTTGTACTAGCTGATTAATTTAGTAGTAATCCATGTACTGTATGGTGAAGTCTATGGATACTAAAGCTCTTTCTAAATTGTTCACCTTTTTCAACCTGGCACTGCCATACATATGTGGTGATAAACAAACAAATGTTGAGTAACTGAGAACATGGTAACAGATTATAATAGCCAAGTGTCTGATGCCAATTAAATATCAACTCTTGACATATGTGTGTATGTTCCTGTTAAATTTGGAAGAGTGGTGGGATGTAAAAGGTGGGGACTTTTGCCCATTCAGGTGTCAAAGAAGGACCAAGGGGAATCATTCTCTTTAATAGTGTCCTATGTAGGAAGAGACTGACTTGAGTTTGATGGATGAACCAAGAACAAAGAAAACTTATGCATGGAAATACACATTTTCCCCCTTCCAGCACTTATTTTTCACCCTCTGGTCATCAGATCTTTTAAAATAAAGCATTGTGAAGTTTGTTTAGGGTCAGCTTTACATTCTGGTGTTTTGTGGGAACCCTAATTTTTCTGCTTTCTCATTCCTGTAGATTTATGCATATGTTTTTGAGAACATCAAGTCTGTTCAGCTAGAAGCACTGCTCTTATCCTTGCTGAGCATTGTTGTCCTTGTTCTCGTTAAAGAGCTGAATGAACAGTTTAAAAGAAAAATTAAAGTTGTTCTTCCTGTCGACTTAGTTTTGGTAAGTATGCAATCAACAACACTTAGTTGTTTTGGGGGGGGTAGGGTAAAGTCTGCAGATGCTTACTATATTTCCTGTAGTAACCCACAGCCATTCCTGTGTCTCATTAATGAAAGACTAATTTGCATGGGTATATATTAATGTAAGAAACATTTTGAGTCAATAATTTTAAAAAGGAAAGACATATGTTTTCAATTTATACAGCATTTCTCATATGCTTTTAATTTTTTGTAAAAATAAGACAACATATCGCCTAAGATCTCACAAGAGATATATCTAAGGGTGAGTCTTAAATGATATTGGGTATAATTTTAGGCAAACTAACAAAATATGCTATCCTATGCTATTGCCTTGACACCTCCGTGACACACACAACTATTATCTGGCAATTACTCATTAGCGATTGGAAGGTTTGTTGATTTTCCTGTTACTGAACCAATTTTACCCCTCTGAAAAGATGCTTAGGATTTCCATTGGACAGGGTTGTTTCTTTAGAATATGTTTGTGAACTGGTTAAGTACATCCTATCTTACTTGTAAGGATTGAAGTTTTAAGAACCTTTCCCAGGAGTATCACATTGACATGACCACAGTGCATGTTAATGAGCTTTAAATGGTCCTTGGATTTTCATGTATGTTATAAATGGTATCTAAATAACTTCATAGATTGAAATGTTATGGCATGATCCATGCCATCTTATCTCAAATATGGAGAGGTTAAGAAATGCCTATTGCGTCTTGGAAAACTATATTAAAAGTTTTATAAACCAAAATTAGAAAATCACCTTCGTGGGACAGTCTCCTAATCTAGTCATAAAGCAACTGGCCTTCTCTAAACAATTGGTAAGGCTCATTCCTAAAATGATAGGTATTCCGGAGGTGGCATGGACTTTCAAGACCCTTGGCAGAAGCACCAGTGCAAGCCCAAATACTTAAGAGTCACAGAACAAAATGTTAAAGAAAGCAGGTTCTGGTTTTTCTTTTGTTTGGTTCATTTTAACATTGATTACTGTATCTGAGCTATGACCTCAGAAACCAGGTTATGAGATCCATTCTAGGCTTGCTCTTCCTCCCACACCAGCTTCCTCCTACTCATAAGGTATCCCATATGGATATCCCTGAACCAGTGGGAGATTTGGATATGTCCACTGTACCATCACCACTGCCCCTTGGTCTTCCCAGGATCACTCTGGTAGGGAGGATCCGCTGCATCCAGGCTGGGTGCCTTACACCAGGGGATGATAGATATTTGTGCATCTGCAGCATAGAGGAGAAGCAAGAGTAGAATTTGAGTTGGGCACCTCTTCTTTTTTCTTATAAAGCTTCCAATTTATGGGAAATGTGACAGTTGGAGGAGGGCCAGATTAGAACTATCTTTAGCATCTGGGGCAGAATCCCTTCCTGCCCCTGTTGATGAGCAGTTCTGGCCTATAAATACCTATAATATTAACAAAATACTAAAGAGGAACTTGTGGGCTCAACAGATGAAGAACTAAATCATGTTCTAGAAATAACAGCAAGGGAGCAGGGTGCTGTCTCCATGACCATTTCAGTAACTTAGAGATTACTATTATATCACATTAATATTTATATAGTTTATTCTTGCTTTTTCTTTGTTCAATCCAAATTAGTGTTTTCCTTTTAAGCCCATTTGATGTTTTAGAAACTTTTGTAAGTTCAGTTAAACATCATCCGAAGGCATAGTTAGGAGTATAACTACAAAAGCTGCTACTTATTATTGAGCATTGATTGTTAGATGTTCCTTATTTGATAGTGTCATTTTGTTATGATTTTTCTCTGATTGTGCTTATGGGAAATGTACTTTATGTATATGATTAATGTATCCATTTTAAGAAGATGAATCATTCCAAACTGTTTTTATGGTTTCATTTCTATTTGTCCACAGATTTCTCAAGTCTCATTTTTAGGTGATAAAACTAGTTTTTACTTTATCTCAATGGTGTTCTTATAGTAGCCCAATTTGGTGGTGTTCTTTGCCATTTGTATTTAGACTCTCAAATATAATTTAACTACAACCCAACACAGTGGGTCATGAAAGTGTATAGTAATAGGTCAGAAGAACTGACATATACTATGTTCATCAGCATCTTTTCAAATCATCTAACCTAACCTCTCCACCTAAAGGCCTCAGCCTGTGTTCTCAGGGAGCAGAAATTCACATACTGTAAGAAGGTAGCTCAGGTCAGACAACTGGAAATCACGCAGCTACCAAAAACATTAGTGTATAAAAGAATGTGAAAATAGGTGGACTATTCTCAGGGACACGGCCAGTACAACAGAAGTTGTCCTGGCTCTGGCATGTGCTTAAAGACGACTGTGGGGTAGAGGAGAGAGTTCACTGGATAGCTGTGTAGGTAAGGACTAGAGTTCAGAAACCCTAAACTTTTACAAAGTTCACCAAGGCAAATCAAACTGCTGTAGTAACTGCACTGGAAGGTGGTAATAGGGTATCCCCAGGGCAAACTGACTATCAGACTAGCCATATAGAGGAGCTCTGGGCTTGATTGAGAGACCCTGTCTGAATTAAAAAGGAGGAATAGCAAAAGCAAAAACAAAAACAAACCCACCAACTCTGGTCCTCTACATGTACATGAACCCATGTACATTTGCACACATGCAAATTGTGCCCACACACAGGCAAATATGTATGTACACATGTGACACACATATATACTCATGCATACACACACACACACACACACACACACACACACACTGACTATGGTTGTAGACAGACCAAGTGACCTTGTCTGAATATCTAAATAATATCAAAGTAAGATATCTGAGCCTCCTGAGGGCCATCTGAAAGTCATTTTTTTCCCACCAGTGTGGGAACTGGCATGTTTTACTTCATGAAAGAAATGAAGCCACAAATTTAAAAAAAAGAAAATTAAGGAGGCTGTAAATCAGCATTTACTAGTACCAGAGTAAGAATATTGAACAGTATTTTAGGCTCCTGAGAAGTTGCTCTCACAGAGGGAAAATATGTTTTCAAGGTGTACTCCTTCATGTCATGAGAGAAAAGTAGGCTGAAATGCAAGCTTGAACACACACACACACACACACACACACACACACACACACACACCTTTCTTTGTAACTTCTTTGTAACTTTGTAACTTCTCCTTCCAGCATGCCCTTTATGTTTGAGATTGGAGAAATATTTTGACAGAGGTAAAAATAGAAAGGTTTTGAAATGATTGATATGTTTTTTGTGGCTTCAAAAGGGGACATAATTGGGTGGGTACAAAGCAGAATGTTGGAAAACCATGAGATTGCACATTCTGTATTTTGAAAACTCAGAGGAAAATCCTGAATTTTTGAATTATATTTTAGAATTGTTCTTGACACCTGATTGGTGACTGTACATACTTAGTTCAGTGTGGCATTGTGACCCTGTGTTTACTGTCTAATTATCACATCAAAATCAGTGGCGTATCCATTGTCTTGGTTATTTTGCATTCTTTTGTAATGGAACATTGCAAATCCTTTCCCTCAGGAATTGGAACTACATGTTTAGTCATCATCAGTGGTAGCTATTTATTGAGCTGTGTTCTAAGACAACAGAAGTTAATGCTTCCTAACCAAGCTTGCCCCATGCCTGTCAGCCACTTTCTCCTTACCCCTCCCATACTTTATTCTATTTTATTTTTCATTTTTTGAACCTTACTGTATAGCCCATGTTGCTTTCACATTTGAGATCTTCCTGTCTTGGCATTGTGACTGCTAGAATTATGACATGCAACACAACTCTTGGCTTAACTCTTAGTATTTCAGTAATAATAATTCTGGGACATATAATATGTATTTTTAAAGTGGCCTTTGGTAGTAATAACATACACACACACACACACATATATATATATATATGTCTTTCTTTCTTTTTTTCCCCCAAATTGAACCACACAGATCATTGCTGCCTCATTTGCTTGCTATTGTACCAACATGGAAAACACATATGGATTAGAAGTAGTTGGACACATTCCAAATGGGTAATGTAGCCTTTCTTTTAATATGTGTTTATCTGAGTGTTTTTGATGTTCAAAGGGCCTGGACCGCCTGGGTACGTATGGATTTCATTTCTTTTTGTGGCTGTATGAGGCAAAACTCTAATTAATTTTTGTAATAAATTACTAAATCAACATGTGGAGAAAAATAATAATTTTCTAGATTATAAGCTAACCTGTTGTTAAATAATCATGTAATTGTTTTATGCAGCATTTCTTCAAGTAAAAGATTCCAAAAGTATTTACAAAGATGTGGCTAGAAAAATAATGGAGGTTGCTAAATTTGCAAACTCCTGGACTTGGCCCAACTTAATTCTTTAGCCTCATATGTTCTTGTGGTTATTTTTGTTTCACTTAAGTTATGATCAATGTAAACAAGCATCCTATGGAATTGGAAGCCCACAGGCCTGAGTAGGAAGTTATAGAGAAAGTAGTGCGGGCCTAGCATCCCACCTTGTTCTAGTGTTACTCCAGACTTCAAGAGACTGTTTTACATGATTAGCATAGTGAAAGGATAAGGTCCTAGGCTGACAAGATATAGCAGAGAAAACTTAGGAGTCAGTACCCTTCGTATGGGCTACATAACACAGACATATAAAATTTGAGACTAAGTTAGAGTTATTGGGTCTTCTATATTTTATTTTTATCCCTTTAAAATAGAGAAATAGAAAAATTCTTGGAAACTAAAAAAAAAAAAGGATGAATTTTAAGAAATCCTGTGTCTGCTGGCCCATGTAGATGGAGGCAAAGGAGGGTCCTGTTTTTATTAATTAATCACTTTTAACTTTAGTGAAATAAAAGTTCCATTTCTTCATTTCAAGTTTTGTATAACATGTAGCTCAGGATGTGTGGTTATAAAAATCTGTTTTGGGAGTAAGGGGTAGTAAGTGGGTGACAAAAATTCATGGTTCTTCTCCACCTTGTTCACCTTTACTTGAATTCCTTTTTCAGAAACCTCTTAAGAAAATGCAAAAAAAATTAATAAAAAACCAAAACCAAAAAACATGGCTTTGAAAAACCAGAGCTGAGACCAAACCCCCTCTCAGCTGTTCTTCTCGTAACCTCCCTCCAAACATTTTCTCATCCCCACAGTGATTGTGGTGTGGTTGATTTTGGGTTGTTGGGAAAATTAAATCAAACTGTTAATGAGAAAGAGCCCATGTTCGACTCACACACTAGATAGTAAGACACCAAGGAGTATGAAATCACCCCCCCCTTTTCTTTTTACCACAGGGATTCTTTGGGGGTGTGTGTGGCAGAGATAAGTCTCCCAAAATGACAAGGGATACATAAATGGTTATTTAGCTTACATGGTTTTCAAGGGACAATAAGACATAATGGCTGGGTATTATCTGAGAAATGTTTTAAAGATTTCTTTGAAATGAAGCTAAGTGTGGTCTGTTTTGCAACGGAGAGTAGATGAGATCTTCCTACATATTTTCTCTAGTTTGTGTAAGCCATGATTAACTGTCTCATGAAAGGGCTGAGTTAAAAATGTAATTACCATAATGAAGTCAACAGCATATTTGGAGATTAGCTGACATAAAGTAAGCTAGTGTTTGCCTGAAACTCTGCAGCATTCTAGAGAGGAAACAGCTTCAGTGCCAGCCAAATAAATATTTGGAAAAGTTCAAGTGAAAGGAAGGCCCAGATATGCTTTTGTTTCCTACAAGAAGTTTTTGTCAAGTCCGAATTTCTGTGGTATGACCTGAATTCCCTGGACACGAATGTCAGTTAAATGCATGGGTCTCTCCTTGTGGTCTTTCCTACAATTTTGCTTTTCGGCTAAATAATGGTGAAAACACAGGGCTTTGCTGGAAAAGGATGCTTAGCTTTTTCCCTTGGGGTTTCATGTATTCCTTGTAAATTTCAGAAACAGTGCTGTGGAATCTATGGCAAGTTGGTACAGAAATGACAGGAAGGTTGGTATCTTCAATAGTCTTTCCTCTCCTTAGGATCCCTCCACCCCGTGCTCCACCAATGAACATCCTCTCCGCAGTGCTCACCGAAGCTTTTGGAGTTGCACTTGTAGGCTACGTGGCCTCACTGGCTCTTGCTCAAGGATCTGCCAAGAAGTTCAAATATTCAGTTAATGACAACCAGGTGGAGTGTGCCCCCAGCCCCTCTCTAGCCAGGGTGTTTTACTGTTCTTTGGACTCTTCGGTACTGAAAATGTCAAATGTTTGAATTTACAACTTTTCTAAATGTGTAGCAAGAATGGGCAGAACAAAACAGCAGTCTTTGAGCTATTTTTGAGAAGCTGAGAGTCTAGCTTTCCAAGTTTATACTACATTAATTTGTTCATTCCTTCCTTTTATCTGCATGTGTGCCAGAGGACAACCTCCAGGGTTTCTTTCTTTGCTTCACTGTGTGGGTCCTGGGATTGAACTGAGATCATCAGGTTTGGTCACAAGTGTCTTCACCTGCTGAGTCATCTCACTGACCCTTAAAAACATTTTCAGAGACCTATACCTTTGTGCTCTTTTATCTGGTTTTAGGAGAGAATCCAAGCATATTTATCATTTCACAATAGATAACTTTAAACTCTTAGGGATTTCAAAATAGAACACTAATATTAAGACACTCCAGGGTGTGAAGTCCTGTTCCTACATACCTGAGAGTACACACATACTTGTTTACTTAATCTGTTTCTCCCAGGGTCCTTTTCATGTCCCAAGTCCCCACATGGGCCTGAACAGAAGCTCCAGTGAACTGCCTAGAAGCACATTGTCCCTTCACCAGAACTCACACTGGGGTTGTATGACCTCAGTTCTCTCTGTATATGTATATATTAACTCCTGCTATACATGTCTGGGGTAAAATAGTGAGCTACACAAATGAGTGTTTTCATCCACTCACAAACTGCCAGGTTCTTTCTGCTTTCATGCTCAAATCACAGCCCTCATCACCATCGTGACAAGGCTGTATGTCTGCAGGATCCCATCTCTTGTCTGGTCTCTTAGGATATGTCCTAGTCACACTTTCTGTATCACCTTTTAACTCACTAGTCAGGATCCTGGCCCTGAGGAATTTGCACTCTCAGCTCTACTTCCAATGAATCCTGTCCCCTTGAACATCTGTACAACTTCTGCATTGAGATCTGCACTTCATAGGAAGACTTCTGTTGACCAAACTCGTCAAATCCAGGCCTCTCCACACACTTCCCTACTTGCTGTCGTAGTCTGTCTATTTGCTATCTACATTTTCTTGTCAGAATCACATCTTTCTGAGGCTAGAGACAATTGTTTATAGTAACTGATGCCAGTAGCGGCAGACAAGGTGTTAGAAGGAGTTTCATTCATCTAGTAGAAACATAATGACTTGAGCAAGGCCCTGGTGAGGACATGTACACTGCATATAGAGGTTCTGGGGAGAGTCATAGATGACTGTACAGTTTGAAGGCTAGACATGGGAGGATGTGATTGCAATGGGATAGCCCTATAGACCAGTTACTGAGTTCCCATTAGCCATCAAATGTGGGTGCCAAATAACAGGCTGGATATAGGAGTCTGAAGTTCAGGAGCAGTCCATGCTGCAGATGTAAATCCTGGAGTTGTCAGTCTTTATCTAAGTAGTTAGGATATAGATACATAAGAGAAATAATCCTGCATTTACAATTGGTTAGCTAGCAAAGGAAACTGAGAACTGACAACCAGAGAACTAAGGAGAAACTTGGAGTGTGAGGTCCTAGGAGCCAAATGAAGGGAGTTTTTAAGAAGCAACTGTGGCAAATGATTCTTTATACAAGGTAAAGTAAGAAGTAGCCATTGGAGTTAGGCAGACAGAAGTCACTGAGGAAAGGGTGGGAACAGAAGCCCAACTGGGACAACTTGCACTATAGAAATGTACAAAGGAAATCATGAATAGAATTTTCTCACGAGTTTCTTGTAAGGGTTGAAAGAGTGATATGCTTGCAGTAGTTTGGGAGGATTGGAAACCATCAATGAATGTTAGCTATTTATATTTTTAAATTGTTACATCTCAACTGATGAGGAGAATGGAACTGAACATAAACAAGCTTCATTCTTTGACAAGTTCTACCTGGGATCATAGACCGGGATTGTGATAAAGAAATGTTCTGTTCTTCTGTAACTAATCTTGCAGGAATTTTTGGCCCACGGCCTCAGCAATGTGATCCCTTCATTTTTCTTCTGTATCCCAAGTGCTGCTGCCATGGGAAGGACAGCTGGTCTATACAGCACAGGAGCAAAGACACAGGTAACAACTGTTCTTCAGGGAAATGGGCTGTGGGGCCATCTCTCAGAGTAGAAGAGAGATGTATTGAACCTTGAAAATGGTGCTAATTTGTGTTTTCTAAGCAGCTTCTAGAAACCCTTCTTCTCTCCCTCTCCTGCTCCCTATTTCCCGTTATCTACCCCCCTGTTTTCTTATCTTCCCCATTAATGACTTTCCCACAGGCTCAATGATTCAAGGAGCAAACTGCTGAATCCTGCATCCCGTGGCAGCTTTATTATTAGCAACCTTGAAGCCAGGGCTCCCTCTAGTGGTATCTCAGTTAACCTAAACAGTCTGAGTGACTTTCTTTTTTCTATTTTGTTCTCTTCCTTGATATAAAACCAAGCCTATGCAGCATCAGTTCTTGACACTAACATTCTATGTATAACAATGAGAAAACTTGTCAAAGTGCCATTCTATATATGTGAATATTTGGGGTTAAAGAAACAATTGTTTTTTATATATTTAGGAACTCAAATAGATTCTTGTTTTTGCAAGCCTGCTGTATACTAGGTATTATGCTGCAATGGCAAGATGATGGTGATAGAGATGATAGTACTGATGGTGGTGGAAACAATATTGAATTATGTGTCAGGCATTGACTGTCTCACTTTCTGTATAAATGGACGCAGTCTTTTAGGCAACTCACTGAAAGAAGTAAAATTGTTCTCAGTTTCTGTGTGAGAAAGTTGAGGGACAGTTGAAATAATTGACCCAGGTGTTATGTGACAAATTTTTTCCCTGGGGAGACTCAACACACACATCTAGTTCCTACTTGGGGAACTAATGCATTTTATTGGGGTTACATAAAATAATATGAGTGATGGATTACTTACAAGAACAGAAATGATTAAAAGACAGATATCTTACCAAAGCCCACCCCAGCATGGTGACTGCTCACAAAAGCTAGTAGCTGGGAGCACACTGCACAGTGACAGGCAGCTCAACAGGTTGGAGAGAGTCCTTTTTATGTGCCTTAGTTGGTCTAAACCTCTTCAAGTAGCTGGTTTCTGCTCTTACCAGTCTGGTCTTGGTATTCTTGGAAGCTTTGCTTGTCTGCACTTGACTCTCTGCAGCTTTTATTGTTTACTCTTGGGAAGGAGGGGCCCAGTGAATTTGGTGCGTTTCAGGGACTTCCTAAAGCTACTTTGGGTTGTTTACTTCCTGGCTTAAGGAGCTTCTCTGAAAACTGCTCTACAATATCAGGACACAGAGGTAGGGAGTGGCAAAGCTAGGATTTAAACTCAGAGTGATTGCATTCTTAACTAGTGACCTATCAAGAGAATTGATGTATATCATGAGAAATTAACAGTAACAGCTAACTGTAACGATAACTCTTTCTGCCAGCTGCCTGAGTTCTGACACCACGTTAGGGCCCCCAAATAACACACAGAGTCTTATATTAGTTACAATGCTGTTGACCAATGACTAGGATTTCTTATTTGCTAGTTCTGTCTTAAGTATTAACCATAACCATTAATCTATATATTTATAAAGACTTATCTCATCGAGGATGCCAGCTGCATGTGTCCTCTCTTCTCTGGGATCACATGGTGACCCCTCTTTACTACATTTCCCAGACTCCTAGTCCCACCTTTCTTGCTTCCCTATTGGCCAACAGTGCTTTATTTATCAAACCATAAGGCAAACATATACACAGAAGGACCTCCCCAAACATCTCTTTTTTTGTCTAAATAAAAAGAAGGGTTTTAACATTAACATAGTAATATATATATATATATATAACAAAACAGTTATCAAGTAAGAACTATAGTTACAATATTTAGTCCATTAACATTAGCAAGATTTCTATCATCTACCCTATTTTTGTGAGTCTAAAGTCTTATATGTAGCTTATCTTTTATAATGACTAAAGAAAACTATAACCATAACTATCTGTCTACAACTCCATCAAAGACCACAGAAGGATATAAACTCTAGATCTGACAGAGACATCTCGACACCTGGACAGTCACTCAAAGTACCTCTGTAACGTTGGGGTATCCATCTTCAGCCTATAGGCCACAGTGTGTCTGGCAGATTCTCCATGAAACAGGAACCCTACAGGACTGTCTTGTTTTGCAAGTTCAACAGTCACTTTCCTGTGGGTCCTGCATGTCCAGTTTATCAAACAGTCCAGGCAAGAGC